GTATCTGATACTTGAGTTCTTCATCATGAGGCACCACAACACGAGGCTGGTCATCCGACCCTATAATATAGTACAACAGACCATCGGTCAGTGCATAACGATGTAATCTCGCACGATTACGTGGTGACAGCTTTACCTTAGAGTTTTCAAAGTCTGTGCTACCCAGCGCCTGCAGAATAGCAACACATGCCTCATTGCGTGCATACGCCACACGGATACGATCCTTGACTGAAGAACTGAATTTTATTTTTTTTTTTAAATTTTTTTTACACAACAGTGAGATGATCAATCTCATAGTCAGGTCTACACGATAACGAGTCAGCCAAAACATTCTGTGTTCCCGGCTTATACTTCACCCCGAAGTTATACTCCGCGAAAAAAGAGAGCCAACAAACCATTCTCTGCGAGAGATGAGGCGACTGTGTCGCTGTGCGTAATGACGCATGATCGTTGTAGATCACAAACGGCTTTGAGACAAACAGGTGTACCCTGAACTTAACAAGGGCATACTTCATCGCAAGCAGCTCCTTGTCATGAACTGGATAGCTCTTTCCTGCAGCTTTCAGCTGGCGAGACTCAAGCGCGTGACGTGTTCTCGACCGTCAGAGTCGACTTGCAAAAGTTCACTGCCAATGGCAAAGTCCGAAGCGTCACATACTATGCTAAACGGCGATCAGGATCAGGCAAAGCCAGAATTAGCGCCTAAAAGATACTCTCCTTTATGACTCCAAAAGCCTTGTCGTGTTCGGTGTTCCAACACCATTCCACATCCTTCTTAAGTAGATTTGCTAGTGGCCTAGACACTTCCGCATACTTGTGCATGTAATTTGCCAAACCCAACCACTTGCGTAGGTCCTTCCGGTTCCTCGGAACCGGCCAATCCACTATGGCTTTAACCTTACATGGTCGGCCCGGGTTCCTCGCTTCTCAATGAAGCATCCCAAAAAGGGAATCTTTTCCGCACTGAAGATGAATTTGTCAATATTGGTATATAGCTTATGCATTCTTATGCAACCGAGCACAGCTCGCAGGTGCTCGATGTGATTCTCCACATCAGTCTTGCCATTTTCGGATCGACTTCAAAGCATGTCTGTGAATACGCCCTATGGGGTCGAAACAACTGCGTTACTAGACTATTGAACGTTGTAGGTGCGTTAGATAGCCATTGGGGCATCACTAAACAACTCCCAGAGCATACTGCTCGGAGTGCTGACCGCTGTCAGCGGGATATCACTAGCTCGCATAAGCAGTTGGTAATATCCATCGACTAAGTCGAGGGCACTGTACATCGTACATCCCATTATATTGTTCTGAAGAACATCCTTGCGAGGAATCGGTGTTTGAGCCGGGATAGTGGCTACATTCAGCTTATTGTAAGCATGCACTATTTGCTACTTCCCATTAGGCTTTTTCACACAAAACGTAGGCGTAGAGTGACGAGACTTGATCTCACGCACCATGCCAGCCGCATGCTTTGCACGAAAGAACTCGTCAATGACCTCACATTGTTCTTGTGGCAGCGGCCACTGTCGCGTCACACAGTATTTAATTCCCGGAACCAAGTCAATTTCATGACGTACACCTCTATCCAGAGGTAATCTCGTCGGAGGTTCTCTGGAGACAACATCTCCATATTCCTTCAACAAAGGAAAATAAGGATCCGACGGGTCCTTCAGGATCTGTAATCCACTACGCGCATTCAGCGCCTTCTTGGTATCTTCAAAAACTGCTTTATCTAATAACGATGAGGAGTTTAACTTCGTATAACGACCACTTCGGCGATGTCGCCTGCCTGTAAGGCAATGCCAACCTCGGCAAAGGACAACTCGTCCAGCTCTAACAAATCACTTACTGTAGGTATAGCTGAAAGAGCCACCGGCTCTTCAACATCCCTAGTCAAACCATTGAAGACTGTATATAGCTGTTCGCTATCACCGTCACTCACGATATTATCATCGCTACTCATGATGCTATCAGCATCTGACGCATCAGCGTCCACAGGTGTACACACCTCAAGGTCAAAGAACATTTTGTTTACTGACTGCACCCCACCCTCTTGGGTCAACGCCTCGTCGTTGGGTGAATGCACCTCGTTGTCCTCAAATACAACCGTCATTTTTGACTTCGCCCGACCGTCCAGGGCCAGTACCGCTTGACTAGGTGCTTGCACCTCGTTATCCTCGAAGGCAACATCCATTGATGACTTCACTCGACCCTCCAGGGTCAGTGCCTTGTCGTTAGGTGCATGCGCTTCGTTCTCTGCAAAGACAACATCCATTGATGATTTCACCCGGCCCTCCAGGGTCAGTTCCTCGTCACTCATGTCACTTGACTCATGTCCTGACATCTTGGCTTGCAGTCACCAACACCACTCACGGTGTTTAATGATGTAACATCACTCTCATGACACAAGTCATATGCGCCATCTAGTGGCTTTTCAACCACACTATCGACAGTCCTTGGGCCTCGCATAGGACTATTGTCCTCGACACTTACAGTGTCTACAAAGCGGATATTCCGACATCCAACATATTGACCGCCTCGGTCCAATATCCGCGCCAAAAACGCTTTTGCTTCCTAGCAGAGGTGGGTTCATGACTCTCCAGCGCCACACCAGGAGCATTGCTCGTTGCGCCTAAGGTATTCGACCTCCAATCAATCCATGGCTCATGACGTTCTAGCCATGCCATGCCTAGGATGAGGTCATACCTCGCATCCAGGTCTAAGACCAAACAGCGTTCCATGCTGTTAAAGTTCAAGAACTTAATATTAAGTTCATCGGGACTTTGGGTACCGTAACACGCGTACCCGTCGCTAAGCGAACTGTGACTGTGTTACTTTCACGCGCTACAAGCGCTTCAGCATACTGCTGGTTACCTTCCACGGTGGCACGGCGCGCATAATTGCCCGATGCCCCGAATCGATCAAAATGATCCATGGCTTATCATAGCCCTTAACCGTCCCTTCGACGACTAGCAAGCCTGGCTTGCATTCTCGTTACGTTTTTGAGAGTTCGGATCTCTTTAGGGCTGGTCCCTGTTTACTTCTACCTCCTAGAGGTTCAACAGAACTCAGTTCTTCCCCAGTAGGGCGCCCGCGCCTACTGGGTTCTGCCGTTTCCCCGCGGCAAACCTAGGGTTGATTCATGGGGCGTCGGCCCTTCGAGGCCAAATATGCCTTTTTTGCAGGGCATTTTGCAATCGAATGGCCTGTGCTCTTGCAGATATAATATCTGCGCACAATTTGCTGCTCCGCAGTATGAAGCTCAGTTTCTTCATCCTCCACTTGACTACAGTCCATGAGAACAGACCCATTAGACGTGTAGGTCTAAGTGTCAGACCTAGCGGCCTTAAAGGTGGTCTCGGCATTCCGTGTCACTCCAACAGCTTCCTCAAATGAGGACGGGTTTACCCGGAAGACTCCCGTTCCGGCAACGCCAGCTCGGAGGCTCTCCATAAAGATCGTGACGGTCACTGCCTCAGGCATAGGGTCTATGACCATGGCTCTCAACCCTTATACATATGCCGCAAGCTCACGCTTGCCTTGGCGACACGCCAAAAACCGCGACCGGTTACGGTGTGCTTGGTTTGACGGTGCATACTGCCGGGTCATCTGGACTTTTAGATTGGCCCATGTGGGAAAAGCATCTTGCAATGATGCACCACATGCGAATGCCCACTGTTTGGCTAAGCCACCTAACTCGCCCGTGGCAAAGCTCACACGGTACGGTTCATAGGTGATGTAGGCGATAAACATAGCCGACTAAACCTGTTGGAACAAAAGCATAAGGTTGTCATCTTCTTTGCCGTCGAGCTTATCGACTTTCATTTGTATGGTTTTGGTCTGCGGACCACTTCTTGCGCCATAGTCGCTATGGGCGATGGCGCAGAAGAAGGCATCTGTGCCTTTACATGCTCGACTAGAGCTTTATTATATTCATAAAGCACATGAATACGCTTGTTAACCTCTTCTTTGCCCTGGGCGATGAGGTAATTCACGCCCTTAGGGCCAAGAATAGGGAGCAGCTTCTGCAACCTTTCCTGTTGTGCCTGTGACAGGCCAACCGCTGACATCTCATCGATGTCCATTTTCACACAGAAAGGTATTCGCAAACCCAGGTGAGGGATTGACCACAAGTGCTACCAGGTGTAGCCGAGCTACTGTAGCCACGCTACTTATGCACTATGGGCAGATGCACTATGTGCAGAAGAAGTAGTCAAACCACTGTAGCAAAGCTGCTTATACACCATGTGCAGAGAAAGACAAGCTCAGAGAACTTCTACGTCGTAGAGTGTTTAACCCTCCTAGGCTAGCTCGTAAGCTTGTGCCTATCGGTATTAACAACCGAGTCTCAGAGAGACAGTATCAAAGATACTGATTCCTTGGAAGGAATAGAATGCTCAAGCTGTAAGGCTTACAGAGCAGGCTTGAAACTGATTTATATTTATGTTTATCTTCTAACACTAAATATAGAAGCACCTACTCTATACTTAGTGCTAGTCACTATCAATCTGGCTCTGTATACCATAAATATGCAAACATGCATAGTCATTATACTTAACTAAGTATAGTGACCACGTGGCTCTCTGCCACGATGTGACCCTTCGTACTTCAGGTACGGTCACATCACCCACTTTTGTACCCAAGGTACACCCACACCCGTTACAGTCGAAGATGGCACGGGCGTTGGCATTTGCACTCTCCAGGTGGATCTCCAGAGGTCTGGCAGCATTGCCACACGATTTCGGTTAGATGGGATCCAAATTACAGTCCGAGTCGAAGAGGGGCATTTTGCAAAATTTACACGTTTGTGGGAAGGTCTTCGTTCTTCGTGTGGCACTGCTAGTGGAAGCTTCGCTAAAAACAATATGATCCATTGTAAAGATAGCTTGCCATGCAATCCAGTTGCTTCAATTTGGCTTGCATGAAGTATTGAGGTTGGCTGCTAATGTCTGCGACTTCTAGGGCGGCTCCCACCCCGCCCCCACGTTCTGTTCCCGATGACTCTTTTTTGGGCGAGTCTTCAGCGGTTCAATGACGTCCACTCATCTGATGTGGACCGTCGCTTTGCTGCTCTTGCGCCACTACCTACCCCTGTGGAGCCTGAGCTATGTACCCGCATTTGGATCCCTGCCAGTCGTTTAACGGCCGAGCATAATATTCACGAGATTCTTGAATCTCTTGCGGCTGACAGCCAACCATCTGTCCGGCGCCAGTCCCGCGGGATTTAAACCGTATCCCTGGACATGGTATCTCTTTCGTCTGCACGTCAGACGATGCTCTCCGCCGCCTTGGCGAAGGGTTACTATCCGCAAGTACTCTAGATTTGACAAGCTTTACTATGTGAATCTGCAGCGTTTACCCGCTAATGTTACTGACTTGGCGGTGTATGACTGGTTTGTTGCCCGGGGTGCACGCCCGGTCTTGATCACGCCTACCCAAGTTTTTGGGGAACTCAACCTAAGGTCACGGACAGTCTATTTCCATTCTGTCGCTTGCCCATCCTCCCTCTTTGAGCCGAATAGCGACCCACTTAGGGAAATTCATTTTCTTGAGGGGAAAAGCCATGTTTTTTCAACATCGGCTTCAACGGTTCAACCGCGTTCGGCCGCCTTCCCTCCTGCCCCTGTTCGCCCTTCATCACCCCGCTCTGACGCCACTATGGGTAGCGACGACGGCGCCACTACTTCGGATGAGCTGCCGTCCACGGCAAACTCTGTTCCATCCGTTTCCTTGCCTACCTCAAGCCCTTCCCCGGCTATGTCAGTGGTACGGGCTGTACCACCACCAGCTGTTCCATCTGGCTCTACAAAGCATAGGCTCCTTATCTTGGGATCAGTTGCTACTGACGAACCTATGTGGAAACTGGTTCAACACTCTCAGTATGGGATCATACGTCGGGACGGGCCTAAGTATCTTGAACCTCCACGTGCTGTGCCGTGCCGGTTGTATGAAGGTTCAGATGATCCCCATTCACTACTTTATTCCATTCCCGTCATGCCCACAATGTATGACGTCCTTTACGACGATGGTTATGACACAATTCTGCCTCCTGATGTGGATATTAACCCGTCTGAACGGGACAAATTTACTGACTTAACCAAACAGGTTTCGGGTTTTTCTGAGGACTCCGACCTTGTGCCTGCTCCGAAGGCCATCCGTTCTCTTATGAACACACGGAAGTTGCCTTTACGGGTTGAGCAAGTCTCGGTCCGTGAACTCGAACACTTCATTGATGAGTACTTGGCCAGTGAATTCTCGTCGCTCACCTCTCACGATGATGCATTCGCCGCTGTCCAAGTCCAGCCGGCGTACTTTCGTCGCCTATTCAAGTTACCTGTGGAACATCAGACTCGCCTATTCAAGAGACATGCGGCCTATCGCTCTGTGAGTGCGGAACCTCTTCAACCGGGCGAGGTTTGGACCGCCGCCACTCGTCTTTCTCAGGGTTTCACAGTTGACCCTATGGACGTCGCAGGCACCTTCGACAGTCTCTTTCATACCGATGAACGCAATCTCGCAGCTCTTTCTAGTGTGACTTGTGATTTCTTTTTGATGATCTTTGCACCAGCGATTTACGTGGATCCTGTCAAAGTCGCCACCTTATTACCGGGACATGCTATCCACAAGCGTATCCGCCACTCGCCGTTCCCCCTTTGGAGCGATATTATTCTGCTTTACTTGGCACGGACGGATGTGGGCGGACTATTTCTCTCTAATCCAAGGACGCCTTCCCATGTGGTAGATGCTATCCGTTATCTCGCCAATGCAGCGCTCTCCCAGTCCGCGGCGACCGGGTGTTCCAGTCTTGTGCGTCCCCGTATATAGGTCGAAGATTTCGCTTTCGCTCCTACTATCTGGATACATTTATTCTCCCCCCTTCATGCTTATGGTGCTTTACGCTGCCTGCCTCGAGTTTACGACCTAGCATCACTGCAACGACTTCCCTCACCCGCTTCCTTTGCTTTTCCCGCACACGTTCAAGCTTCTAGGGAATTTTAGCCTGTACATCACAGCTCTTCCGCACACACCCTCCCTGCAAGTGCCACCTCTTCCTTGAACCCGACTCTCAGCCAAGTTGTACTCCTGCTATAGTCCTTCTATTTAGTTTTCGCTGTCATTCTACTGAGATCTCGACTGTTTATACTTATCATCAACATCTAATACGTTAGGTAGATTCTTAAAAAGTTAATGAAAACAAATTTACCCAGCATTAGGCTGCACAACTTAAATAGCTAACGGGTTGCCGGATTCGCTATGCTTGGGTAGCCTAATGAGCATGATGCGGTTCATACCATCGCGCAGAGATGTGTTCAGCACAAACGCACCTCGTAACATCTGACCGTGCACGCGTGGTAATGTTTCCTTATCGGTGACGCGAAGACAACCAGCGTAGCTACTGTTGGTCACGACGTGCTTCGTCTACAGCACACTGCCATCGCTGCAGTGCCCGCCGCTAACTACATTAGTCTCAGCATTCTGCACGAATCCATCAACGGAGCACAAAGAACGTAGGTACCACAGTAAACGGCACAAAGCCAACAGAAGTTCTGCACAAGCTCGCTGATGCTATACAGTGGTGCCAAGAAGGCGGTACCTGTGAAGCGTCCAATTGACGGCACAGAGCGGTAGACTGCAGCAAGTCCGTCACGAGCCGAGATCTGGTTCTTGGTGGCAGGAAAAGTCGCGAGCCCGACGCAGTATACACCCACCATTTGTAATTTAGTGGAAAGCTTGAAGCGTTTTCTAGTAGTCCTAAAACGAACCTTCAATCTATGCTGCAATCTTCGTATCTCCATCTACCTGATTTATATTGTTTTGAGGCCGCTTTAGCGCACGTCCAAGCGCTAACACCCGCTAGTTCTTCGTCTTTACATCCTCGTATAAAACATGCTTTCCCCCGTAATTCGCTACAAACTGCAAAAATCTCGTTAAGTGACGCTTCTCCACCGTATTTAGCAATTTGCTTTGGAATACATCCGTTTTGATGCAAAGGAACTTCCCAAACCGTATCCATCTTAAGATCCTTTTCAAATCTGTTAAATTCCAGACACTGATGGTTAAAATTGCACATAAGAGCGCTCGATAGCTGCAAATTCTAGATATTTCCTCACACCCGACGTAATTAAAGTTTCCACAAGCTGCTCTGACGATAGCATGAGCCGTGTATTTACGTCAATATTAAAACACGACGACTGCCGTAGTAATTCTTTTTTCGTAGTCTCGTTCGCAAGGCGCTCGTCCAGTAAATGACACGTAAATGAGTTTTTCATTAGCAGTATTTGATGATTTTCCTTGTCAATTGTAAATACATTGTTCGTTGTACAATAAACTTAATCACTCTCATTACCAAATTGTCACAAGTAATAACTTTATTATATATCCATCGAAGGAATTGACTCAATGTAAATGATGCGTAATTGCTGCCATATTAATCATTCTGCAGCACAGTAAAGTAAAATAGAAAAAGTTAACAATAATACCAATAATCATTTACTTTTACTAGATTAGAATAATCCTGATCGAGATGCCATACATTCTTGCCAATTCGAGCTAATGCTTACTACCAAATTATTTTAATATAGAAATATTAAGTTAGTAAAGGTGCTGTGGTTTGATAATAATTATCGCTACTCAACATGAAGTAAAAGTAATACGAAACCCAAAGAGTGATATAGTATTCTCATAAGAAATAAACGCACCCCGTCAGGTGGATCTACCATGTCCAAATACCTATGAAACAATATCAAACTCCTGTTTATTTTTAATTATCCATCCATTTGAATATTTATTTAATCTGCGTAAGCATCAAAAATATAAGTAAGATGCTACAGTATTAAGAATGGTTTTATTTTAAATTTAAATCATAATGTTATTAAAAAGGTGTTAAGAGTCTATATTAGATAATTATAATCAATTTGAAGCCATATTTGCTTGAAATATGATTTAATCTAGTGTTTATTTGATGAAATGTACTAAAAAACCTATCGACTTTAAATTATTTTTATTGGACTTTTCTTTTTCAATTTGATGTCGCGATACTAACCCAAAATAACTTCTCTTACCCTATAGAATAATCCTGTGTAAGTACGGTCTTCTTCTCTTACCCTATATGGATAACCCAGTATGTTTTTGCATCAATGTACATAATTGATACTTTGTCCATCAGGAATGTCACTTTAGAAGAATATTATGCTCAATACATGTGAATAATACTTCGACGCTTTTGTCAGTCGTCAGATAGTTCTGCAATACCAGGCTGCATCTTAAGCGAAGAACATAACAATAAACTCATGACTTCGGTCAAACGATTTTGTTGGAAACAACAGACAGCTTCTTTTCTTATAGTAAACAAGAGTGGAATCACAACCATACGCAAAGTCTCACACAACTATATCATAACTATATTTCTCTCGGAAACCACAGGCAAACGGAATACCTCAAGAGTGCGTCTCAGTTTGATTCTCTTCATGGCAGCTATCACACAATCTCGCTGTGTCGATACGCTGTCAGTCAAACAACGTCAGCATTTTGGAAACCAACAAAACCTCATCAGCATGCTCTTCCTGCCCATCGGTCTCTGCGAGACGGCACGGAGAGACGGACGCAGAGGATAGGATGAGTCCAAGTGAACTGAAGCGACCAAAGTACTGACGACGGTTATGACACATCTATGCCTCCTGATGTGGATATTGACCCGTCTGAACTGAACGAATTTACTGACTTAACCGAACAGGTTTCGGGTTTTACTGAGGACTCCGACCTTGTGCCCGCTCCGAAGGCCATCCATTCTCTTATGAACACACGAAAGTTGCCTTTACGGGTTGAGCAAGTCTCGGTCCATGAACTCGAACACTTCATTGATGAGTACCTGGCGGGTGAATTTTCGTCGCTCACCTCTCACGATGATGCCCTCGCCGCTGTCCAAGTCCAGCCGTCGCACTTTCGCCGCCTATATAAGTGACCTGTGGCGCATCAGACTCGCCTATTTAAGCGGCATGCTGCCTATCGCTCTGTTAGTGCGGAGCCACTTCAACCGGGCGAGGTTTGGAACGCCACCACTCGTCTTTCCCAGGGTTTCGAAGTTGACCCTTTGGACTTCGAAGGCACCTTTGACAGTCTCTTTCGTACCGATGAAAGCAAGCTCGCGGCTTTTTCTAGCGCGACTTGTGATTTATTTTTGATGATCTTTGCACCAGCGATTTACGTAGATCCTGTCAAAGTCGCCGCCTTATTACCCGGGCATGCTCTCCCCAAGCGTATCCGCCACTCGCCGTTCCTCCTTTGGAGCGATATTATTCTGCTCTATTTGGCTCGAACGGATGTGGGTGGACTCTTTCTCTTTGATCCACGGACGCCTTCCCATGTGGTAGATGCTATCCTGATCTCGCCAATGCCGCGCTCCCCCACTCCGCGGCGACAGGGGATTCAAGTCTTGTGCGCCCCCGCCTCTAGGTCGAGGATTTTGCTTCAGCTCCTACTATCTGGATACATCTCTTCTTCCACCTTTCATGCTCATGGTACTCTACGCAGCCTGCCTCGAGTTCACGACCTCGCATCACTGCAACAACTTCCCTCAACCGATTCCTTCGCTTTTCTCGCACAAGTTCAAGCTTCTAGGGACTTCCAGACTGAACATCACAGCTCTTCCGCACACACCCTCCCTGCAAGTGCCACTTCTTCCTTGAACCCGACTGCTCAGCCAAGCCGTACTCCAGCTTTAGCCCTTCTAATTAGTTTTTGCTGTCATTCTACTTAGATTTTTACTGTTTTTATACTGAGCATCGCCATCTAAAACGTTAGGCAGATTCTTAAAGAAGAGAATGAAAAGTCAATTTACCCATGCGACCCATGCTTCCTCACAATCATCAACCACGCGATGATTGTTGAAGATTGAACGGCGGGGTGGGAGAAAAGGGAGCGGGAAGACCGAAGGGAGCGGAGCGGAAAACACTTGCTTGGTTGAATGAAGATTCGAAAGTGGTTGTTTTAATCGGAGGCTACTCTTACTACTGCCTGGTTTATATGTAGTCCACATATAAATTTGGCCACTGTTCACACCAATGATTTATATGTGCTGCACAAATAGATCAGGGATCTTCCAATCAACCTACTCGTCTAATCAACTATGACGTAATTACCTGTAAGAACTCTGCCGTAAATACTAAGCCTTAGAGTTTGGATTGTACCGGTAACCCTCAATACGTCTTTAGTGCTTGGTAGATAGCGAAATATGCATTTGACTGCAATCCAGTGATCGTCTTGAGGATTCTCTACGAATCGAGACACATAGCCCACAGCATAAGCAATGGTCCGGGCGCGTCGCAGTAGTCAGATGCATCATAGCACCAAATGCTTCACGAAACGGAGCATTGGCCTTGGTAGCTGTATCGCTCGAAACGAATCGAGAGCTCATGTCCACTGGACTTGACACAGCCTTGCAATCACTCATGCTAAATCGCTTGAGTAGGTCATCCACATACCTGCGCTGACACAATGTAACGCTTCCATCTTCTCCATTCAAAAGCTCAATTCCAAGAACAATGCACACTTGCCGCTATCATTCATCTCGAAGCGTGTCTTCAGGTCATCTTTGGTGCGTGCAATCAACTTGGACGAGCTTCCTGTCACCAACACGTCATCCACATAGACCAAAATTTATACGCACTGATCATCCATGATCTGGATGCAGAGACATGGGTCGAAGCCTGACACCTGAAATTCAATGGAACACACAAACTTGTCAAAAGCTTCGTTCCATACTCGCAAAGCTTGCCTCAGGCCGTAAATTGCCTTCACCAAACCGAGACAGTCAAAGTCATCATCCAGCTCAACACCTTCAGAAATCACACAAAACACTTGCTCCTTCATCACGCCATAAAGAAAGGCAGTCACTCCATTAAGTTGATCAAGTGTCCATCCAAAATGTTGGCAACCGCAATGACTATGCGTAAGGTCACACACTTGACCACGGGCGAAAACGTCTCCGTGTAGTCGATTCCATACTTCTGGCAAAAGCTCTTTCCACGAGACGTTCCTTGTACTTCTTGAAGAAAGGCAGTCACCACATTAAGTTGATCAAGTGTCCATCCAAAATGCTTGGCAACCGCAATGACTGACTATGAGCAAGATCACATACTTGACCACGGGCGAAAACGTCTCCGTGTAGTCGATTCCATACTTCTGGCAAAAGCTCTTTGCCACGAGACGTGCCTTGTACTTCTCGATGGATCCGTCCGCTTTGCGTTTGATCTTGAATACCCACTTGGTACCAATGGCACGTTGTCCGTTGGGCAACTTGGCTGCACGAAACACTCCACGAAGTTGCATTGACTCGAGCTCCGCATGAATTGCCTTACGCCAGTGCACTTGATCCGGGCCAGTCACTGCTGCTTCAAATGTCGACGGCTCCGACAAATCCACTGCTGTTTCAACAGCATTCGCACTCGCACGCCAAAACATAGGCGGAGTCGATTCGTCCGATTCCTTCGTTTCTTCATCTTCTTCTTCTTGGTATGACCAACCGTTCTTTGGTCCACTGGTTATGTCCAATCCAGGCCGTTGACGTACAGTACGTGGTGGCCGATTGTGATGAGCGTTTAAAGAACTGGGAAGACAGTTGGCCAAAGAGGCTTGCCAAGGAGTAGTGACCGTTGAGTAAGGTACAGAGAGAAGGCGTGCTGAAGGAAAAGTTAAACAATCGTTGGATCGGAAG